AAATGGAGTATTGGAAAAAGACCAAGGCAAGGAGTGGGGAGAGATGGGCTCTACTCTATTAAGTCTGTCGATGGAAAAGTGATCTGGATTTAAAACTCTACAGCTGCAAAGTCAGAACACCGTGGAACCAATAGCCATGATCCTAGAGCTCTAGATTTCTAAAGTCTTAATTTTGGAGAAAGTACCCAAGTACATAATGAGTTACTCAAATATGTTTTGACTTATTTTTTAATTATTTTTTTAAATATTTATTTATGAGAGAGAGGAAACAGAGTATGAGTGGGGGAGGGACAGAGAGAGAGGAAGACACAGAATCTGAAGCAGGCTCTTGGCTCTGAGCTGTTAGCACAGAGCCCAATGTGGGCCTCAAACTCATGAACCACGAGATCATGACTGAGCAGAAGTCAGACACTCAACTGACTGAGTCACCCAGGCACCCCTGTTTGACCTATTTAAGTGAAAATACACATATGAAGATATGTTAATTATAATGAATTTTAAGGGATTTTACAAACATAAATAATGGATAGTGCAAAGAAGGCAGATACATGAGCTGCTTCTAGGAAAAAAGAAGTCTCCAGAAGAACACTAAATTTCAGTCAACAATTTATACTGAACTCTACCTGGGCAACAAGAGCAAAAGTTAAGGAAAATAAATGCATTAAATAAATAAAATACATTATTTCAGTATGTTATTATGTTGACTAAGCCATAATTACAACTGTCGATTTAACTAGCAATGCTTCTATTTGAATCAAATTCTGAGCATGTCTCTCCATCCTACTGATCCCACTCCTACTATGTGTTGGCACAAATATGCACCAGCTCGCATAAGCTCACAAGAGCAAACTGGTGGCATCTCTTCCTGTTCTGAGTTCAATAATGTCTTGTTGGTAGCTTGAAACCAGCTATGACAATATTTACGTCACAGAAAAAGTGGCACATGCTACACATGAGGACTTTTGTTTCATTTGGTATCTAGTTTCTAAACATTTACTAACATACCACTCCCTGCTTCCAAGAAACAGCTTCCTCAGACAGTGTCTTCTTTTTCACTTCGATCTCAAAATATTTATGGCCACGTTGTAAAAGCATATCATTTTTTTAATTCTAGTGTAGTTAACACACAGTGTTATATTAGTTTCAGGTGTACCATATAGGGATTCAACAATGCCATATATTATTCAGTGCTCATCAAGATAGATGTACTCTTCAATTTGTTATTTCCTTATAATTACCATAATGTGGGTCCAATTCAGACTTCAGGGGGAAAAAAAAAAGGACTAGGACTAGAAAATAATCCTAGGTTAATTTGAACTATTTAGTATGAATTAGCCATTTGACTTTGCTGGGGGTAAAGTAGCATGAGGTTCCAAAAATGTTTGATTGTCAATATGTGGTGAGGATCCTAAAAGTAAAATACACAGGAAATCACTCATGTGCTTACATCCTGCCAGTGGCCCCACTGTAAGGAATAAATTTGACCTTTACAGTGACCTTCATGACAAAATATATTTTGGCTCCTGTTCATATTCACCTGTACATTGTTCTAGTATTCATTGCTTTCACTCTCACTTCCCTTCCTGGTGTCCCCCACCTTTTATCTGATCCTCTTATTCATCCAGCTCATTCCAGTCTAGCATCCAAGATGTGTGCAGTACTATTTTCCCAGTTCTCCTCCTTCCTTCTTCCTCTTCTTCTTTCCCTTCCCTTCCCTTCCCTTCCCTTCCCTTCCCTTCCCTTCCCTTCCCTTCCCCTTTTTTTCTTTGCCTTTCATTTTTCTTCCTTTCTTTCTGTCTTCCTTTCTCTCTCTCTCTTTCTCTCTCCCTTTCTCTCTCACTTGCTGTCTCTCTCCATCTCCATCTTCATCTTCGTATCTCTCTTCTACCCCATTCTTTTTCTCCCCATCATGATTTAGCTCTATTTTCCAACCACAGAAAACTATTTTCCAACCACTCTATACAAAGTGGGACACCCCCTTCAGTGACTGTGTAGATTCTTACCCAATTTATTTGCTTCTTACACTTGTTCCTGTATGAAACCATCCTACTTATGAATTTGTTAACTTTTGTTGTGTCTTCTCATGGTTGACTATAATATTCAAGAAAGCAGGAATTTTTAAATCTCTTATCCACTTGTGACTATTTTGTCCCTTTAATGGTGCTTGGCCCAGAACAGCTATGACTGCAGGAAAGAAGGAAGGAAAGACGGGAGGGGAGAGAATTTAGCATCTTGGCCTTGATTTGAAGGGGTTAAGGTACTGAAATGTTGAGAACTTCATTAATAGGCAGCTTTACTTATTAAAGAAGGTTCTCTTCGTGGACTATGGAGACAGCATGAAATAAAAGCTTCACTGAAGAAGTCAACCTAGCCAAAACCTGCAAATACGCAGCTCTATTTTCAGGCATGAGCTATTTGCTGGAGTTTAGCCATGGACATATGAAAGGTTAGAACTGTTAAATATTAATATCTGGGGCTTTAAAAACAAAGACAATAAAATTTATCCAAAGCATCTGATTTGTAGTCCACTCTATTTTGTGAGGTTTTATGGATGTATAACACAGGATACTGGTCTGTGTACTTGACACTTGATGCTGAATGTAATAGATAGTGAATAAGGAAGCATCCAGGAAGGAAGGCGAAATCAATAGGCTTATTTCTCTAAAGGAATATTGTAGACCAAGGCCGTTTGGTTTTATTCCTTTTGGCAGAGCATTTGAAATAATTTGATGCTCAGCCCATGGATTTAAAAATGTTTTTAAAGCACAATCTCAGCATCCAGTTAATTCAAAGACAAATTGTTTCTGAGACCACTGCTGGTAGGTCTAGGACAACCCAGGACATACTGCTTTATCCAACATTAACTTAGTAGCTGGAAAAATATCAAGATATACTTTCTAAGGCTTTGGGAGCTGTTATTTCACTGGCTCCTATTGATTTCATTAATATTATTCCTGAAAACATATTGCATGTGCAATGTATAACTTGTCTCATCTGCCAGGTAGAAAAACATAATTTTTGTGCTTGAGGATGTTATAACTGGGAAATTAAAATCACACAGAAAAAACATATGTGGATGTAGAGATGCAAAGAACATTATCTTGCCAAACACAACTTTGGTTTTAAAAAGAAGGAAATTATACAAGCAAATACATTGGAGAAGTAATTAAGAGGACTTTGAGTCTTCTTTCAGTCAGGTTTTCCATGTTTTGGGTATTTAGAAGAGAATTAAATTTAGAATAATCTCCAATATTTCCAGGACTTCATTTTAAGGTAGAAGCAGGATTCTACTGTAATGCTCTTTTGACTATAACAAAGTTCTGTGGCAGTGAAGGATATGATATATAGTAAGGTTCAAGTCTGTTTGCAAATATCCTGGATACTCTCAAGCATAAAACATAAAACTTTATGATGACAAGAGCCTGTAATTGTGTCAGAGCCTCATTACATGTTGTAGACAGCAGGGACAATGAAAGGAAATTTAAGTAATAATCACAGCATAGTATTCTGAAGTAAGTAATACAACTCAAAAAAAATTCTTAACTTATTCTCAAACCGGATGTCTTTATGGAAATAGGACTAGCTCTTTCAATTTGATGTTAGTCTGCTAAACCAAACACAGGTTCATCTTACCCAAATAATTTACGAATGTTACCCTAATTAATGATTCTTTGAACACTTTAATAGGCCAACTGTTTGACATCTGGGAAATAATGCTCTAGCTATTGGGGGTACAGAGACTTGTATAGAATTTGATTAATCATGAAATTTGATTAATCCATGAAATTTACCCTAGTTAGTCCCTGTTCTTTGGGGTTCCCTCCTAATGAAGGCTAGAGAATTTAGGGGATTAAAAAATGCCAAAACAAAATAAAATGTCTGATTCACTTCCAATACCATCACCTGCTCCCTTGTACCCACATCCCTCAGGCTTCTGTTGTGATATATTTTCCCTTTGAGGTCCCCACTCGTGTTCCTTTCAAAGCTGATTTCACCGAGGTAAATATCAAAGACAGATGAGAAGATAGCAACATGAGTTACACATGATAGTTTTCTTCCAAAGGGCTAGCGCTGAGTCTATTACATGTCTCAGTAGATTTTGCTTCTAAAGAACCTTACTGTGCTTTCCATGGCCTTTTTTTCCCAACCCAATGCCCTATCCAACCTTGATACCTTGCACAGCCCACAGGGAATCTGGGAAATTCCTAATACTAATTGACATGATTTGAATATGCAAGAATAGTAAACAGTCATGTGGAAATGACTCTCTATGGTCAATGAGAAGGTTTAGTTATTCCTGTAAGCAATAGTATTTCCATAAATATATCTCAATATTATAAAGAATTCAGGATAAGTAACCATGATCATTTACAAAAATATATACAGTTATGGGGGCTTTTTTTTAATGTGAAAAAAAAGAAGCTTGAAAAGAAATATTGACAGTGATATAGCTTGAAGCAGCAGTAGGTAAATGGCGCCATGCAAAAACAAAACAAAATACAACAAAACAAACAAAGCAACTTGCCCACTGTACAGACTGAATCCTGCCGCCTTTGATTATTTTCCCATTTTTTTCCTATACTCAGAAATATTCTTCCAAAAATATTGTATGGATCCTTAAATGCCTAACCACCAACAGTTATTAGTATGTCATAATTGATTTATACCATGAAAAGAGTAACATCTAATTTTTCCCAAGAATAGTCCACAGAAAAGTAGTAAATATGTATCAGTACTCACTGATGTTATACTTCTTTTTCATTTCACTTTTTGCCAGAAGATGTATATTTAAAATTCAAGTAAAATGCTTCTTTGGCAGTAGGTCAGCATCTTCCCAATGAAGAGCCCATTGATGATACAGAATAGAACTTCCTTTCCCCCTTGAGTAGAAGGCTGCCTATTATTCAGTGTCCTTTTTGTCACATTGAAGAACAGGGAACTTTTTATTCTTTCCAAGAAATGCCCTTTCAGATTTAGTAACAACATGTTCTGTTCCTCAGGAAATAAGAGAAGATCGAGATAGGGCGCGGCTAGACTCCATGGTGCTGCTAATTATGAAACTGGACCAACTTGATCAGGACATTGAGAATGCCCTCAGCACCAGCTCCTCTCCATCCGGCACACCAACAAACCTGCGGCGGCACGTTCCTGTGAGCTTTCCTCTTTTTCACTTCTTTTCCCATGAGAATGTTACCTCTTTATTTCACACAGTGCCTCTTGCAAATGAAACACCTCTGATGGTAGCACTACCTACCTAAATGTGGCCCTGATACTGTTCCACAAAGATCGCTCAAATAATTCTGGGCTTCGTGCAATATTATTTAAAAGAGAAGTGTGCTTAAAAAGGAAACGGTTATTATGAGCTAGACAAGAAAGAGAGTCACCTGGGGAAATTATGTTTCATAGAGATCAAATCATCTTTATTGTAGTTGTTTCTCTCATTATCAGTCTTCTCTGACATCCTATGAGCACCATTAGCAATGCTATGTCTGTCTCGTTTAATATTTTTTTTCTAATATTTCACAAATTTACATTGCACGTAGGAGATGCTTAAATATTTGCTGCATGCACACACGCATGCATGGATGTTTGGGTAGATGGTGAGTGGATGAATGGATGCTGGACTAACCCGGCATACTACAAGAAATAATTTATATGAGATTAACTTGAGAACACTCTAAAATTCACTCCATGAAATACAGTGAATAGGACAGAGGTGAGAGTTTCATTCTACACTGCATTAATTTCTTATAAGACAGACACTCCTCTGAGATTCTGACATTCAAAATAAAATTTGAAAGGCAGATTCCAGGACTGAGTATGCACTTTACATATTTACTCTATATTAAATGGCTTAGTTTGTACAGATCTAGCAAATGTGATGGTAGATTTGCTTATAATTAAGCCATAAATCCCTTTTCAATTAATCTGTTACTTTTGCTATGCAATAATCAATACATTAAGTCAAGAGATTATATATTTACCTAAGATCAAAAGGGTGTAAAATCCTATACATAAATTGGAGCAGCTACCAAAATGGAGCTATTCTGCATCAAATTCTCTAATTAGTATAGCTCTATCATTGATTCTGAAGTGATTCAAGACTTAACTCTGATGATGGGGCAGAATATTTTGAAGTAAATGAACAAATTAAAATGATAACTAACCTTGGTATATGCTAGGTATGATTTTAAATGATTTATGCATATTAGCACATTCATTCCTCACATTTTTCAAATGAGTGAAAGACAGAGAAGTTAGTAATTATATGCGTCAAAGCTGGAGTACGTACCCAGCGAATCTTCATCTCAAGCCATGCCATTTAACCGCTACACCACACTGCGTTCTCTAGCTGACCATATTGGGAATCCTATAGCTTAAGCAAATGATAGATGATAGATTGACGTAGAGAGGGAGAGGAAGGAATGAAGGAAGGGGAAGGAAGGAGAGAGAGAAATAAATTAGATACTTCAACTTAAAGCCAGTAGAATGAAATTTTCGTTTTTGTCTGTGATCTTCTGGATAATCATTTCTTACCCTTTAGTATTCATCTCAAATTTTCTTTACAGTGAAATATTGCCCTAAGCTTCTTCTGTCTTTCCAGAAAGAATCAATTACCCCTTCTCTGGTGCTGCTATAGTGTCTTGTACATACTTTAGTAGGACAGGATCCCAATGGAAAAACTAATATCAAAGTAACCTGAAGACCAATAAGAAGGGGTGTTTTAATCTTTTTTACATATGAAAAGTGTGTAGAATCTTTATACTCATTAATATCATTTTTAAAAACAGAAATAACCCAGGGTGCCTGGGTGGCTCAGTCAGTTAAGCCTCTGATGTCAGCTCAGGTCATGATCTCATGGTTCATGAGTTTGAGCCCCGCATCGGGATCCATGCTGGCGGTGTGAAACCTGCTAGGGATTCTCTCTCCCTCCTTCTCCCTCTCTCTCCCCATGCTCCTCCCCCAGTTTCCTCTCTCTTTCTTAAAATAAATTTAAAAAATAAAAATAGAAATAACCATATTTTTCAACAAGAGGCATTTCTTAGTACTTCTTTGCCATAGAATACATTTTCTCTTTAGAAGATGTCTGATGGGAATTGTTAATATCTCCCTGTCTTTTTTAATTTCTCCCCTATACTCTCCATCTATACTGAACTTTCCTCAATCCCCATGTATTTAGGGGAAAAAAAACCAACCCATCTCTGTATTATTGTCTCCATCTCAGAAAGAAAGGCAGCTCTTATCTGATAGACATGTATCTTTGTTCAGTGGTAAAGGCAAAACACAAACAGGGACAAATTCGGGTGATAATTTTAGGATTTGCCTACATCTACATCTTCAGCCTCCATTTAAAGTATAAACCAGATTTTATATTGCATGCACTGTCTCCTGGAATACAACCACCATTGCTGAGGATGGTTGATTCTATAAACTGAGATCCATTTCTAAGTGTTCAGCTCAATAAATACTTGGAATAGGCAAATTAATACAATAGAAACCTTATGAACTTTGGGATTTACAGACCTGCATTCAAATACCAGCTCCACAACTGAATATCTAAGAATATAAGAAAACTATGTGATTTCTCAACTTTAGGTTCATGTAAAAAAAAAAAAGGCAATATTATTTTCTATCTAATGGCTAGTTGGAAGGAGTAAATGAGAGAACATATATTAAGATGTATTGCACAGATCTGGCACAGAGCACGTATCTATACTGTGTTATTCTCTTTCCTTCTCCCATGTACTCACACCAGGCACTGGTCTAAAGATGAATAAGACATAGCCTGAAGCCCTCAGAGACAAAAACATCTTTTTGGTCTTTATATTTTTCTAGGTCATCCCTTGTTCTTTATTTCTGTTCCTTGGTATTTAAAGCTAATTTTTTTTTAAATTTTTTTTTTCAAGGTTTATTTATTTTTTTGGGGACAGAGAGAGACAGAGCATGAACGGGGGAGGGCCAGAGAGAGAGGGAGACACAGAATCGGAAACAGGCTCCAGGCTCTGAGCCATCAGCCCAGAGCCCGACGCGGGGCTCGAACTCCCGGACCGCGAGATCGTGACCTGGCTGAAGTCGGACGCTCAACCGACTGCGCCACCCAGGCGCCCCAAAGCTAATTTTAAAAGTCTCTCATCATCAAAATTTTTTCCACAGACACTTTCCATTTCTTTTGATAATTGCACCAGGGAATAAGGGGATTATAACAGCGTGATTATGACCTTGATCATCCAGCAAGTATCACTGTCCCAGATTCAGAGGAGAACCTCCCTCTTTCACACCCTTACACTCCACTGTGTATTTACAGTTTAACAGGAAAGACAAGACTACAATCAAACCGTGACCTCAGTTTGAGATTACTTACGAGAAAATGCTAGAGTGAGTTTTCTACCTATGATAAAGGGTGTAAAAAATAATAGACTGGAGTCTTTAAGAATGGATTGAAGATGAAAAATCACTACAATAAGAATACAAATAAAGACTTAAGGTTGCCTTGATAATAGAGACTTGCAAATTGACTATATCTTGGTGGTTCACCGCAGCCCAGGATCTGGTTTTCTCCTCTAGAGTCCAAAAACTTGATTTTGTCCAAGTACTCACTGTGTGCCAGTCTCTTAGAGCTGATAAATGATGGCCCATCTCATGGGATCAGTGTGAGTGGGGGATGGAGAAGGCAGTAGTGTTTACTGACAATTAATCTTTATATATGCTCATTCTTCTGTATTATAACCCTTCCCAAGAGACATATCGTTCACTCAAAATTGTTCACCATTTCCAGAACCAGAACCTCCTTGTCTGACAGTCAAGGAATTTTTTTTTCCCAGTAACAAGGTATTCTGAATATTAAGTTGCTAATTGTGTTCAAGTTAATGTGTAAACAAGGAACTATTGATAATATCTTGGAGTATTTCTTCTATGCCACAGAGAAGCTTAAAAAACATCCAAGTCAGGGTCACTTCACTACCTTTAGCTGAATCTCCAACATGGTTCTATAGCATTTTTTTTTTTTGTCTTCCTGGTTCTTTTCCCATAATCCAAGGCAGCTATTCAAAAATTTTACTATGCTCCCCAAACCCTTACCTACCCTTACACCTTTCTCTTAGCAAACATCCTCGTGTTCCTCTTGGCAGAGAAAATGGACCATTGACAGGAACTTTGTAGCCTCACAACTGTAAATATCCATAGGTAGTCCTTTTCTTCTCATGTCCTCCCTTGTGAGCCAAGATTTATTCTCCTTTTCATCTAGTATATATTCCTTGATTTAATTCTTGTCCACTGCTCTACCATTTCTCTGCAACTCATCTCATGTCTGAAAAATCTAGTAGTAACCTCTCAGTCTTTAGCTGTAGCATTTGAAACAATTGAGTATCCTCTCCTCCCTGGATTTCACAGCTCCCTTGGCTTCTGGCTCCTCTCTTTCCTTTTCTTCTATACCCCCAGCAGTTACTTTTCATATATTTCAGTGGCTCCTCTCCCTGTATTTGCCCCTTAAATCTTATCTCCAGATTTTAGGCTCAGTTCTTTCTATGTCTGACAGAATGTTCTCCCTGGGAGTTACCATGGCTTCCCTGACTTCCTTCATAGTGAGGGTCACCAGTGAGCCCCTTTTTGCTGGCTCCAGATCTGTATATCCAATGGATCACTAGCCACTCACTTCTTTACACCACAATTGTACTGTGTATACACCTCTACTATAGCACATCAGACTGTATTCCCACAATGGGAACTATTCCAAGATATTTATATTCCCGTTGTCTGGCACAGTTGAAGCATGGAGTAACAGTGATGAATGGAGCCTAGTAGGAAGATGATATGGAAGATGAATTACACAAAGCAGATTCACAACACAATTATTAGGTGGCCATAGTAATGCTAATTCAGGGCTTGAAGCCACTTAGTTTGGGTATGGTAGCAGTGGAAAAAGAAAAGAAGGAATGGATGTGAGAGATTCTGAGAGCCGCTGTGTCATATCTCATAGTGAACAGAGAGGAAACAAAATAATAAGGATTTGTGCTAAACTACGTATTTGTGACCCTCCTTAAATCACTTCTGTAGTTGTATTTTAAGCGCCCCCAGCAGAACGTCGCAGTAGCTACTTAAAGGGGTTGAACTCTGGGGTCTGACAAATGTGAGTTTTAATGTCAGCCCTGGT